CAGTCATTTGACAAGCTGACGACTGACTGCTGAGTGACACGGAGCTGAAGTACAGCAAAGTCAGCCAGCTGCGCCACAGCGGCACATGGGAAATGTGGACTGAGGGCGCCACCTGCTGCACAAACCTGCACTCACAGACAATGCATGTTCAGTTCTCCAGCTGCAAGAATTCAAATTCACCCGAGAGGGCCAGGAAATAACTCAAAGTGGCAAAATACATAATGTGAACAGAGCATCAACTGAAATTATGAACGTTTACGACTAACCATTTTGCACAAGACTCCTACCTTAATGCTCTCATCGTCAATACCAAAGTTACATTTAATCAGAAGGAAGCTAAATACTTGCTGCACAACTGTGTCTGGTTCATAATCCAGCTGTGGTAACATACTACTCTGTCAAGTGAGGATGGAAACAGTGAGTGGTTCAGGGGAGTTGAAATCTGACTGTCAGATATAAATAGTTTCAGCAGAGGAGCTCTCAGGTTCAGTGAAGCCTCTGTGCTTCATTTGGTCTCTAAAATTTGAGGAGCTTTTGCTGGCTGTCAGGATAAATTTAAGGTCTTTTCCATATTAAAGTTAAAGAATTCTAAAGCAGTAGATTAAATATGTTACAGAATCTCCCCTTGGGGATCAATAAAGTATTTCTATTCTATACATATCTATTCTAGTCCATATTTAATTTGATTCAAAACTGCCCCCAGATCCCTGTTTTAACTGAACAAGTTTACCTCATAAGATCCTAGTAAAGGACTATGTGCGTATATGTCTGAAAGTAAAATAATGCCATGCATAGTATTCACACATAAATCTTACCATCTATTTAACTTGAAAGGCCTCACTGGGATTTCAAGTGTCCTGGCTTGAATATAGACGAACAGGATAAAATAAATATCTGTATCAATATGTCACAAAATCTGCAGTGCAGGTCATGAATGCAAATATCACATCCTGAAGACATTAAATCTAAAGCAGTGACTCCATGAAATCAACACATTGATTCTAAAATACCTAACAGTGCTGACAGCCAATCGGAAAGACCTGCACGTTGTCCAGCAATTAATTCAGTTTCCATAGAAGAACCACATTTTACAACTTTAAACCAAGTTGCAAAAGGTTTGAAAACAGCTTCAACGGACTTCAGCATTGATTCTTTATGTCCCTTTCTTCTAAGAGGCCAACTACAGCCAAACCATGTCAGCAAAATGTCCTTACAGCAAAACAGAGCTGCCAGGTCATCTCATGGTCGGGCCCAGTGGTTCAGGGTTTTCCTTTAATTTGTCATCAATCTGTATAATCCAGTGCTTTAATCCAGAGGAGGTTAAAGTACATCTGAATGCACTAAAATTAATATAAGGTGAAAGCCTGAGTTGCAGTTATTAGTAATGAATCGTTGGGCTCTGTGATATGTGCAGTATCCAAGAAATGAAAGGAAAGTAAAAAAGCTGAATTAAGCTTCTTTTCAGCTAAGAAAGGGAAGTTGGATTAAAATTCCTCAATTCCTCTTCAGTGTTTTTACATACTGTTGAATGTGGAGCTCAGACAACTGAGATTAAGTGTCTACAAGCAGAAACATGACCACCTGCTATGGTATCTAAGAACATTGTTATCTTCTTAGCGTTTGTATGACAACATAGCTACTCTGCATTCAACATGAGCTCTAAATAGACACATTAAATATTTCCGGACCATGTCAAAGGCAACTTGCAGCTGTGAGAGGGTCTGCATTTGCATTCGCTGCATTTACATGGCTGCAGAGCAATAAAGAGTACCAGAGTTAGCTTCATGCTTTTAGGTGTTTTTTTTTTTTTGCTTTCGACACAAAATCCAGCCTGGTCTGCATTATAAATTCCACATTTTTAATTTGCAGGTTTCCGGCTACCCTAAATGCTTGATATCTGGAAACTTCCTTTGTTTCTGGTTCTAATCTGAAATTAAATACCACCAACCTCTATAAAAGACCTCTCCCAAAGCAGATACTTTTCCAGTCACAGCAGGGACAGCATATGTGTAATTAATACCATTAATTATGTCTGCCTCCATTCAGGTGCTCTATTTCTAGGATACAAGAAAGTGAGAGGGAGCTGAACCAAGTGCTGTAGTCTTTTTACAGTCACATCATACAATTTACAGGCTGTAGCCTCATTTCTAACATTTACTTTTCATTTCATCTATTAGGTGGAGACTTCAAAGCTTTGCAAATTCTAGAAGAAGTAACAGTGTAGAGTTACATGTAAGAAGTTTTACAATTAGAAAGCATTTTCATGAGAAAAAAAACGTCCAAATATGTAACTTTAGTGAGGTTTTAAGGGTTAAAATAACACCTAGTGAGGCTGTTCAATGTACACAGAAAAGGATGCAGGTGCTGTAGGATGTTTGGAGACAGAGTCTATCATAAATGTATGATATGGCCCAACTACACCACATTGTGCTGCTATCTGAGGACATTCTTTACAAAAACTGTGGTCATGTATGGTGCCTAATCCCTAAGATTGACCCAGATGTTTCAAAAGAGTATTTGTCCAATATCCACTCTACCACTGATGTTAAAGTACACAATCACACAGAGCTAAAGGTCAGTGTTACAAATTAAACCTGTAGGCTATAATTTGACCGGCTTACAGGACAAGGAATGATGAGACGCTTCAAAACCACCCTCAACTTTTAGATGACTCCAAGCCATTTCCAGAAGCTTTGTGTGTGTGTGGTCTCACTTAGTGAACGCAGACACACAACAGTGTTGAGAAAGAAATAGATATCAGATGCATTTTTGTGATTTAAGGCTCTGTATCGTTTCCATACATCCATGAGAAAAAGGCAAATACAGTGTGGTTTATGTGCATTAGCATTTTAATTGGACAAAGCAAGAAAACATTGATTACAGTAGCAGAGTCATCAGTTCTCAGGGCTAACACCTTTCTAAACAAAAGGGTCTGAAAATGTCTGTAGGCACTGCCTAATTAAAAAGAGTATCTTGTCAGCTAAAAGAAACCAGCTCTATAAGGCAACAGTTACAATGTAGGCCTCCCCATTTCTCTGGCAAAAAGAGCAAGTGTAAAGGTTGAATCCACTCAGATTTTTGATATAAAATACTGGCGTTTCAATAGATCTTTAAAAAACATCAGAAGTGTCAAACATGTTCACCCTTTAACATTTGAATTGTGTTAAATTTTAAGTATGCACTGCATGGCAATGCTGTCTTATCCCTGCATGGAAGAATTGTGTGTTGCACTGTGCCAGTGTCACATTTGATAGTGCCACTCTGCTACGTACAATGTCGGAGTTAACTGTCGAGTTATCAAAACAAAAATGAAAGCAAGCACCCACAGTTAACAGTAGCATTTTACTTACATTGTTTCAAATGAATGAATGGTTATTTACATGTGGCGAAACGATTTGAGGCTGTCTAAAAGATATGGAGAAATGGAATGCAAAAAGGAAACACTCTTGGTAGTCAAATTTGTCTAGCAAGTACAAGAGAGGAAAAAACTGTGCAATATTTATCTGCCCTTACAGAGAAACAGCAGTGGCAACAATCCCTGCAATTGATTTTAATCCAAGAGAAAATTAGAACAAATTAAACAGCTTTCCATTCCTCAAATAATAACTAAGGTTCATAACTTAGCATGACTCAGACGTCAAGTTTTTTTTTAAAAAAAAAAAAAAAGAAAAGACAAACCTCTCAGTGGCTGTCTGAGAGAAAAGATGTGAAAATGGAAGCAATTTGTAAAACCCGGAAAAAAAAATTCCAAAAGTTTCTCCTTTACAGTTTTATACTCATTTACAGTTAACTTAAAAACGGTAAGAGCCCTGGTTCATGGCCAGTCTTGCCTACCACAGAGGGTGTAAATACCTGTGTGGGTCAAATCGCTGCTCCCTGGCTCCCGTTGCCTCAATCCCCACCCCCCCTCCCCATGAAATCCCATTTACATCTCACAGACGTCAACCTTGTCATTAGGTTCCACATCCCAGTAAAAGTCTTAGTCCTGCCACAAATGGAGGCGGTGTTAAACAGCCCCGCAGGGCACCGTACAGCCAATAAGAGGCTGATGGTTGACAAATCTCCCACCCTGCCCACCTATCAGTGTGTGGGGTATCCTGCGGCTCCCATACCGGGCTGGTTGGCTAGCATACTCCCATTCAATCCCTGTGTAGGCTCCATAACGCCACCGTTACTGATGGCGCTCATGCCAGTCCACCCAGCACTGGCCGGTAAGTGACTGCAAAAAACAAGGTAAAGAGAGAGAGAGAGAGAGAGACAGAGAGACAGAGAGAGAGAAAAGACAAAATGCCAGCAGGTTAGAAGAGACAAGGCGAAAGGGAGCCAAAGGGACGGTTTGTATTAGAGCTACTAGAATCTGGACAGGCTAGAATGAGAACAAGAAAGCAAACAGAGTTATCAGAAGTTGTGAGGGTGAGGAAGGCTGGGTAAAAATCAAGCTAGCAAAACAAAAAAAACACGAGAAAAAAAAAAAAACAGAAAGTGGAGGGACCAGAAGGAAGTGTCATTTGATTATACATGGGTGGACAAGCAGACAAAGAGCATACAGGCTAAGCGCAGCAAGCTACATATTCCCTTCCACCCCCCTCCCATCTGCTGATAACCATGAGGAGAGAACAGCTGTAACCAGCCTTGAGATAGAAAAACCACACTGTATACGACAATGTAGACCATAATCAGTTCTCATCACACTTCTACATTTGGCCATAAACTATAACAAAGAAGTCATAAATTCTCCCCCTATTCACATCATGTACTTTAAGGCTATTTTGCATTTAGGCAATAAAACTAAATTCTGAGTTCAGTGTGGTGATTAGACAGCTTATACAGGATAAAGTTTCATCTTCAAATTTCAAGTCAAAAGAGGTCTAGCCTCTGTCTTAATAACTGTGCATTTACTGTACATTTGACGATCAAACACACTGCTTTCAGTTACATCTACCTCACACCTCTGTGCGGAGCCTATTTATGCAGATGTTTACCAAGAATGTTAGACTGTCGGCAACATAAGACCTCTTTATTGTTCTTGGGTGCACACAACATCACTGCATATAGGCTGTCTGAATAAAACCAAAATCTGAGAACCTACAAATGATATTTAACATGTCCTGCTGACATTCATGTACAGATCAATCATCATCAGTAAAAAATAAATCAATGAAAACAAACACAAAAAAAAAGATGTAAAAAGCTATGACATGAATGAAGACATACAGAACAACTGAACAGCCTTAAAGACAGTCCTTACACACAGTCAGCAATCTTGCACAAAAGGAAATTAATTCTTCATCAGCAAATTCCCTGGGTGGACAGAAAGTGAAAACTTTGTTCTGAGCATTTACTACTTTTTGTGTTCAGTGTATTTAGTCAATTATCTTTAACCTTAATGAATTCAAAATTTTGATTTTTAGAAAGTTTGAGAAAGTATTTTTTACATTCATTGCGTTGAGTTATTACGGACTATAATTCAAGTGACAAAACATTCTGGAACAAAAGCCTTCAGGTACTAGGATGTGCTGTGCACAGTGAGCAGTGGTGACACACTGAAACATGACTAACAACAAAATTAAAGTTCCGATTGTTCTGTGTGGGTCTATGCTTATTTCTCAATCTTCTCAAAGATGAGCAAGGTGAGGGGCTGGCGAGGGGAGCAGGGAGGAGGTGGGGTTGGGGGGGAGGGAGGCCATGGCTCCATCCTGTGGCCAGAGCTGGCTCTCGCTGCCCCGGTCTTGAAGGGGGGACCCTGGTGGTGCTGGAGTAGGAGGAGGCGGTGAAGGGGAGCCCTGTGCACACCGTGCTACTTACTTGAAGCCCTGCTGGTTCCAAGCCTGGCCGTAGACGCCGTAGGTGGGGACCTGCCACCCATTCGGGACATACTGGCTGATCTGGGGCCCATTGCCGTACCACTGGCCCCACTGGCCATAGGGCTGGGCCGCAGCGAAGCCCATCTTGTTCTGCTGCAAGGTTTAGTGCAAAAAGTACGGTTTAAGTATGGTTTACCCTCCAGCATTTCAGCAATCATAATAACCACAGCCCTGAATTTACCAGGAAGTTCCATGACTTTCCTGCTGGGAACTTGCAAAACTCAGTAACTTATTGGACATGAGGTCACCATTTGATGCAATGATGGGATGTTGCAAGCACCAGGACCAATGGGTCCATTTCCCTGAGTATGTCACAAGGTGAATGGCATTAAAGCCACAGCAAAATGAAAAAATTATGCTTTTTAAATTATTTTAAACTTACACATTTGCTCTCATTACCAACTGTATGAATCCCATTTATCCCTTCAACATGGAATTAAATGAAAGAGGCAAAATGCTTAATGTCCTGTCACTGTGATGTTCCTCAATGCCTAAGTTATGGTTTCAGTTCATCTTATGTTCAAAATATACTGAGACAACACACTGCAGCACTAAACAGAAGCTTATGGTTATATCTTCCTATGAGCTCCTAAGAAGTCAATGACTAGATGCTGCTCTTATTGTTCTACAGCATGTACAGCATATGGTGCATTTACCTGGGGCATAGACATCTGCTGCATCGAGTTCATCATGTCTGGGGTCTCTTTACCCCAGTAGCATTTCACTATGTGGCCTTCTATTGAAGAGCCATTCACTGACACAATGGCATGGGCTGCTGACTCATGGGAGTTAAACCTGGACAAAAACAGAGGGAGAGAGAGAGAGAGAGAGAGAGAGACTCAGAAAAGACTGAACCTCATTTTATACATTTCATAGATTCCCACGTCACTGCTGGAGATCTGTACTGTAAGCAAAATGTGCAAAGTCCAACACAGATGTCCAACACGCACCAAGGGCGTAAACCAATACAACAAGTAAGTTGCAGTACAGCCTGAAAACCTGTACAAGCATCAACAGCTCATAGCATTAAAAACATATCAGCAGCCCACAGTATCTCCAAAATACTGGAGGTTTTCCTTACCACACAGTACACTATACATTTGCTGCATGTGTCCAGTGTCTGTATCGTATTTTGATCTGGCTTGGGGGGAAAAAAAAGAAAAGACAAACTTTCACGTACCTCACAAATGAATAGCCTTTGTCTGGAAAAACTCTGACTTCCATGATTTGTCCAAAGGGGGAGAAGGTCTGTCTCATCAGTTGCTCTGAAAGCCAAGCAGACAGTGAATATTAGATCCTGTTTCTATGTGGGTTGTGTTGTGAGCAAACAATAGCTGCAAAAGAGACGTGCCATGTTAGCACCCCCGGGTACAGGTCCCATGGTGGTTGCAAGTTAAAATCACGACTTTGCTGATAATGCCACAGGACTGAAAAAAAAAAACCTCACTGAGCAAAATAACCACAGCTACAGTATTTTATTTTATAAACAAGCAGTGCATGCATTCATTCATCTTTATTACAAACAGCATTTCCTCTGAAAAGATCAAAACCCCAAATTAATTAATCCCAAAACACAGTACTGTCTGTAGCCACAGCTCGATATAGATTATATTATGTTGATGCATCACAACTTGTCACCATTTAAAAAATGGTTGTATGTTCTAATTTCCCATTATAATCATGTCTGACAAAGAAAAGTCCAGAATCATCTTACTGAGGAGTTAGAAGCAGATATTTGACATTTTTGCTTTTAAATAACTAACAAAACATTTCTTTAGCTATGAAATGATTAAATTACTGTTCAACTAATCACTGCAGTTCTAAATACAGCATCCATTGTAATGGTGTGGTTCGATCATGCGTTGTTAATCACTTCCAACAACTGAGTTCTCCTATTAGGTTTGGGTATCATTACTATTTTCAAGATTCTATTCCTTTAAGAGGCAGCAGTTATGGTTATTGCTTCAGTAAAATCTTGCTACTAATAATTACAATAATATACTACATTGTATAATATCCTAACAGCTACCAGGCGCATTTTTCTACTTTTACTTTTGACATGAATGTACATTTTTGGATTACACAGACATATGTTTAAAGTAAAATGTTTAATTGCAGGACTTTTGTGGTATTTGTCCTTTTACTTAAGTAAGGATATGATAGTTTCCTCCACAGCTGCCCACCTCTGCCTATCAAGGTAGATAAACACTTAATAATTATATTAATCAATATAGTTGCTATGTTTTTAAACCAGTGAGGTTACACACCCACAGCCTGACTGTACATCCCCTTTAAGGAAAGTTGTGATGCAGACCAGAGGGCTTTTTGTGTGGAGTCTCTTATGTTGCTGCAGTTACACCAAAGTATCACTATAAAGGTAGTAAAATTACTTTAGTCAACTGTAGCGAGCTTCGATGAGCACAATAGGAAGAGAAATATAGAGTCCCTGTTCATGTCATGTTACTGCAATGTCCTCCTTCATTCTTCACACAACAGTTGTGTGAAACACTATTTACCACAGATAAATGCTAGCTGCAGAAACACACAGTGAGATAAAGTAAACGCAGCTATAGCAACAGTGGTCTCTCTTTTGGTTTCCTAAATATTTTCATATATACTTCTGCTACTGTATTTTAACAGTAGCGCAACATGCCAATCCCACCCTTGTAAAATGTTTTGGAGGATAACGTTTCCAAAATTAAAGGGATTGTTACGAAACAATCACACAGGGTGCACTGTTAACTTGCTAATCAAACAACTCGGCAACAGTTGGTTAAGTGAGAGTAACACGAGACTCAGGACTCATTAAGAAGTGTGTTAGAAGACAAGTAAGACAGGCAAGTGTTCAGGCACAGACAGTTAGCTGATAGCAGCTGTTTACAAACTACTGCAAGTCACAGCTGTGCAGAAACTGACAAGATGAATCAAAATTAAACTTGTTGAATAATTCCTTTAGAAGCAGAATACGGGAACAAGTTCTAAGTTAGTACTGGTTCTCCATGCCCAACCCTATCGACAGCACAGAGTTATAAGCTACACCGCGTCTAGACTTGATGCGAGGATAAATTTACTACCACTTCTTGCCTCACTGAAATTCTGCGGAATAAAATGATTAAATAAGAATGGTCATATCCCCGTAAAAGAAGGGCTGTTATTTTTCAGCCAATACCTTTTCTCCTTTATTCAGTCTATGCCTTTGACGTATTTAGCCTACCATTGTCGGTGTTATTATCACACTTATGTTAGCAATAATTCTCACAGTATTCATTACCTGTCAGTCCTGTGCTGACTCCACCACAATACACGGTGCAGTTACTGGGGCTGGACTGACTCACTACTTCATCAAAGGATAGGTGCTTGGAGTTATCTGGCAGGAAAACAAGGGAACAATTCTCCTGTTAAGGTGTCAATCCAAAATCCCAAGCAAACAGAATCTGCATATTTATACCAACTTACTTTCATAGGTAGTCTTTGGGGCGGGGGGCTTTCTTGTGGCCCAATTAGTTCGAATCTGTCTGCCTCCTAACCACTGACCCCCCATGTGCTGAATGGCGTTTTCTGCGTCCTGTGGAAAGAAATGATCTGGGTAACCCATCAAACTGGAGACTAGTAACATAAGATCTAAAATGTACCCCTTTAGAATAAATCAATAGGGAATCTTTGTGCTAATTTTAGTGTAACAACAAAGAATGGTTTTGTTCTTTGGAGATGTACAGATATAATAATAATATTAATATTAATAACAATAATGCTTTTAAGAGCCCTACTATTAACAGCAGTACTAACACAATGATGTTTACTTACCCATTTATTGAAGAAAGACACAAAGCCATAGCCTTTAGATTTCCCTGTAGCCATGTCTTTCACCACACGAGCATCTCTGTGGAACAAAAACACCAACGGCAGCACAACATGAAGGCTCTACTGTATGAAGTGTAAAAGGTAACAGGTAAAGTATCTTGGTGAACTCTTTTAATAAGAGCTGCAACTAACCATTATTTACAATTATCCTACTGATCATTTTATCTACTTAACATTTGTTTAAGACAGTAGTATGAAGCTTTTCTCTTTAATTCTGACAGGCTAAGCTGACCTGTTGAAAATACTTGCTTTTGTCCTACCAATAGTCCAAAACCTTGAAATATTTTGTTTAATATCACAGATACAAAAGAAAACGCACAAATAACCACATTTAAGGAGTTACAGTTTGCTAGTAATTGGCATTTCACTTTAAAAAATGACAGAAGCATTTAATTGATTATAATCTCTATACATCTCTGGATAATAAGCTTAGCCATCTATGAATGCCACCATTGTTTGTCTTAATATGTTTACTGGTATGTAGCACGAATGGGGATCACATTGCTTTCTGGTATCAGAGATCAGTCTATTCCAGACCTAATCATCTTCGTCAGAAAATATAAGTCTGACACTTACGATATCCTGCCAAACGGACCGAAGGCAGCTTTGACGTCTTCTGTGGTTATTTCTGGGCTGAGGTCTCCAACAAAGACATGAAAGTGATCTATAGAGTGAGAAACATAGTTTTGTATATGTTACAAGACAGGCATTGTTTCAAAACTAATATTCTGTCCAAGATGGTTACTTCCAGCCTTGACAAACGTAAAGCATTTATGCAATGAATGCCTTCCTGATTTTCTGTCTTTATATTTCTTTAAAACATCAGTACTTATGAATCACACCGTTCCACTGTATTAACTTCATGGAGCATATATCCCCACCAACAAGCACATGTACTTACTACTTGTGTCTTTTTTCTGGCTGGTTGGCGTCGTGGCCCAGTTGACTTTGACCTCCTGCAGAGAGGGGCAGAGAAAGAACAGGCCAGGTGGTGTATGTTTACATCATTTAGCAAAACCTTCATTATAAGGGTGAATAAATTTGACCTTATAAAGTATTTAAATATCTAATATTCTCTCAAAGAGATACTACATTAAATTAAATGTGGTGACTTAACTTTCACTGGTATTGTACCAAACCCTAAGCTCTTAGTTATCTGACAGAAAACAAATCATTTCCAAGTGTGACTGTGAACCAAGTCAAGAGCAAAACCATGGTATGATAAGAAGCGGGGTACTAATCAAAGGCATAAACCAAAAACAACAAATGTATATACTATAATATGTTTTAATAAATACAGCTAATTTAAACAGAGTGGCTGCTCAAGTCAGCACCACAGTCATCTGTGGTTCCAGTTTATGTCCTTTTACTGAACTTATTATTACACCATCGAGCACCACTTTAATATCCTTTTATGTGACCCAGGGGTCTTTTAATGTTTCAGACTTAAATTTTTATGTTTTGCTCTATTGTTCTAAGTAACCTGGCTGTATCAAGCCTCCTAGACTGTATTTTCACACCCCTGAATAACATTTGTCACTAATTTCTCTTCGTAACCTCACTTTGCTTGAAATATTCAAGCCACATGAAGACGGTAAGACAGCTCACATTTAGCACCACAACTATTTCCAGACCATTAGATTTAAGAGGCCAGGGAAAAGGAAAAACAATCTGAAATTTTTAATATCTGATATATTTTTTGGCTCTAGCAGTCCTCTCTTGCCATTTTGAATGTCCTATACACTTAACGGTATATCAACCTAGGCAGTATACACATTTTTTGTGTTTTTAGAAAGCATCAACCTTGATTTCCCATCCCCAAAGCCCCCCCATCTCCACTCACCCTGTAGATACGATAGCTTACCTTACCCATTATTTTCCTTCCATTCATGGCTGCCAATGAGGCAGCAGCATGCCTGTGGTCATAGAACTCCACAAAGCAGTATGGATCATTTCCAGCCGTCTGTCAACGGGAAAACAATACTGATATTAAGTCAACACTTTAATCACTCCTGATGACAAGAGCCACCTACTGTAGTTTGGCGTGTCAGGCCTGACATGACAGACTGGGAAGGGAAAAATCAATCATACAACACATGTGCATACATTCAAAGACAGCACCACAACCTTTAAGGCCAAAGCCGAATCCCAGTTCTTAAAATCAAACCATTCGGATGAGAGGGAATAAAACTCACGTCAACTATCATTTTACAGCTCTTGCAGGGTCCTATCTGCGTGAACACCTGGAGGATGAGGGGCTCGGTGACATCCCTGGACAGATTCCCCACATACCTGCAAACAAGGAGAGATGTGGGGGAATTGAGTCTTTGTCAAACAGGAAGTAGCATGCAAACAAAGGCTAGTTAACCGGGCTAGCTACTGCCCACAACAATTCTTTATATCAGAAGATAAACAGCAATGAAAGAGTACTAAATACTACTGAAAATAGTTTCCGTTTTACACATACACCTCGAGTTTGGTCAACCCCTCTCTGGAACAGTCTCGTGCCTTCTCTCCGAGCGTTGACGTGGCTTGTCTGCTAGCTAGCTAAAACACGGCTAGCCGGTTCACACGGGCCTCAGGCTAAGTGTGTTGGCAGCTAGGGGTACTTTAATAATTACCTCCTTCCAGCTACGGCCTACCTAATGCTTGCTCGTTGTTAATAAAATACAACAGTTTTAATGAATCTAACCATCATTTCATGAAAACCGGTGCGTTTTAGATGAAGCGACTTACTGGATGCGTTTACATCTTTAGCTAACGGTAGCTAGCACTAGCTAGCCAGTCGCTTTCATTTTCGGGCGAATTACGGTTCCGTCTATTTATACAGACAAATCAAGAAGAACTTTGAGTTCATATCGACAATTCTACCTCCTTGGTTACATATATGTACGTCGCCATTATCAACATGAAACAATAATGCGAATTAAAAACCAATGTGTGTCAAAATTACAAGGTTTTATAGCGCTTAATTGAAACAACAACGTGGAAACACTTCGGACGCGCCGTAGTTAGACGAAGCCTTCCCATTCCAGGACATAGACAGGGCCGCTGTTACTCACAAGGTTCTGGGTTGATCGTCCTCCATCATCAAGGTTTAGTGGTCGCGTCCTGAGAGCTCTTTAGGCCAATGGCATACAAATGGTTTGTGCTGAACTTGAGCGACCGCGAACGTAAATACTATATCTACTATTTAACGATAAATCCGTGGCCGCCTCTGCTCTCACACACACCGCAGACAGCCTCCGTCTGATGCAAACAATAGGAAGTTGAAGATGGCGGAGGAGCGGCGTCAGCAGCGTCAACCTGCGCGCTGAAATGAAGCCAAAATCAAGCGCTCTTTCTCCCACACGCAGATTTGTGCCTCCACATCTGTATCTGCACGGCAAAGACTGCACACACAGAAAGTTAATATTGACTCTGCAAAGCTGTACTGAATATTATTTTGTATTTGCTGTTTCGTGGACGTTGCTTATTGAAACAAAGTGCAAAAACGTTGAAGAAAATGACAGCTGGACACATCTGGGAGAGTTGTTAAGAGTGTGCAGTGTCACAGTCACAGACAGAGTTGGTTACAAGTTTGCGGTGAAGTGTGTTAAACAGTTGTGAAAAATGGAAACATTTAATCGTTACCTAAGCAAAACACGTGCGCCGCCCGGGAATCGAACCCGGGTCGCAAGAATGGGAATCTTGCATGATACCACTACACCAGCGGCGCCCTTATCATGTTAGTGTGGGAACAGGAATTTTCTCAACTAAACACAGGAAAATTTGTAACTGGTTGAATTAATCACTGGGCAAAGGACCATGATCCCTTTTAAGTGTACATAATTTACCTCAATTTCTAATAAAAACGTTTATCTCAAAAGTAATTTAACCCCCATAAACCGATTACAAAAAGATGAGGAAAGGTACGTGGCTATTTCCAATACCTTTCTGTCAGCAGTTACTGCTTTGATCCTTCCTATTATTAAACCATGCAGTCTGTGGTAAGGACCCAGCTGATGTAGGTATTTAGAAGCCTGTTACTCTGACCTCTCTGTTTATGTAAGTTAATGGAAAAGACTGGTAAACTTTTCAATGCACATAGTGTTACTTGGGCCATGACAGAGAGTGTTCCTTAGAGCTCCTTCTATGGGAGAGATGGGTAATATGTAGAAAATAACACTCTTTGTGAAAGAGATAACGACAGTGGTATATTTAGAGATTTGAAAAATTTGAGTCAAAGTGGTAAGAAAGGCTACTAATTAAGTTCATATTGGGGAAAAGGTGTAATTGGATAGTAGAGTTTTTTTTAACATCTAATTCAGGGTTTAGGTGGGATCTGTTTTGTCAGATAAACAAGGTATGAAAAAATGAATTTCTAATCGAATTGTAAAGAGTCTTATCCTTTCAACATTAAGATAAATTGCATATTCAGGAATGTAAACAGATGTAGACACTTCACTTGAAGCAAAGAATGAAAACTTAATGGAAATTTTAACCTCGTAATCATGAAACACAAGAATGCTGAACATATTGTTGAAAAATGCTAACATGGATCAGGATGCAAAGCGCTTCAGTAGAGTGCAACCAGACTTTTACGCAGCTCTTGAAGACATTTCCCCACTTGTTCAAGATGTTTCCTCAGTTTTAACTGACTGGTGGGGAGTTCAGGTGACTCAAGGTGTGAATGGGTGAAACTGCCCAGAGATGGACCTGATAAGTGTTGCAACCTGTAACCAGGCTCTAATAAGATCCATTGTTGTTTCAAAGGTATAGTAAGGGAGAAGCAAAGTCTAAACAGCAGTGGCAGACGCCTGGCAGACGGAATGGAACTCAGACACTAAAGAATAGAATAGAATAGAATAGAATAGAATAGAATAGAATAGAATAGAATAGAATAGAATAGAACTTTATTGATCCCTTTGGTGCAAACCTCAGGGAAATTGTTGAAACTAAAGGGAGACCTTATAATAGAATTCACAAGTCTTTAAATATTAACCACTGCTAAGCAATATATGGTATTTGAAGAGTGCTGTATTTAATGGGGAAAAGATCTTTAATCCTGTTGTCAGCTGTGGGAGACATTTGATATTGCACGCTCAACTAACAAAAGTTGTGTGATACAACCACCACAACAGGGCCCGAGGTCCATAGTGAGTGTCTTCTGCTCTGTGGTTCCCCGGTGGTGGAACGAGTTACCAAACTCTTCAGTCTGCTGATTCCCTCTCATTCTTTAAGAAAAGACTAAAGACCCATCTTTTCACTGAACACCTTTGCACTTGACAGACTGAAAACAAACAAAACAAAAAGAAACAACCCAAACAAATAATTCTATTACTTCCCACACAGCCTGCGATTGGCATCAACGCCCTATCACACTTGAACTTGCTCTATGGCACTTATCCAGATTTTTTTTTCTCCTGGCTAGATCCTTGCTTGTGTTGTGTCTGCTCTCAGTTATTTGTCGCAATTGATAAAGCGTCTGCAAAATGAAATTGGAGAATTGTAGAACAGAAATGAGCATTATTGTGTGCAGGTCAAAGACCCGGGACACTCAGAAATGGAGTGGAGATGGAGACACAGTGAGATAATAGTGTATAGCTTAAATTTTTTTTATTATTATTATTTGTTTGCCTTTTACTTCATTTTAGATCATCTATATTAGTTGATACACTACCATGATCAAACAGTGGGTGGCAGTAGGCGCCTTTTACGTTTGGTGTGCGACCAGCAAATAAACACCAACGAAGAATTAAAACGGACGAAGTACGTGAAGCGACACGCGAAGAAGAATCAAACTGTGGACGAAACATGGCTTCCCCTGCTGGCTGTGAGCATTATGTGCGCAGCTGTTTATTGAAAGTGAGTTAACTCTGTGAAGTGTGTCGCAGATATTTGCCTTACATACGTGATGAGGGCTACGAGACGTTTAATATGCTGAACTATACCTCTGGTAAAACGACTAGCGCGTCTGTGAGGCGCAGGTAGCAACTAGTCAAAGCTAGCTGGCTAGTTAGTTCAACGCTAGCCGGTAACAGCGAATCAAACATAGTGAGAGAGCTTCAGTATCTGTGACATGTCTGTAGGCTGAATGATATTGTTGAAATGATGGGCGCTTTTAGAATTTTGTTCGTACTGGTTTGTTTGTTAAGTTATCTTAGTATGTCGGACTGGTTATTTATTCTATATGCGCACTGAAACAGACATGAAACTTTGACTTCCCTGTTGTATAACTATAAAACCCAGTTTTGCCAGGAATTCCTAATAGTTGAAGCTACTGTAAAGTATTAGCAGAACCTGCAGTACGAGTATGATTAACAACAACCATCATTGACCTGACTGTGCTTTGTTTAATCACTTTTTATTCCAGGCACCTTGCTGTGGGAAACTGTATGTGTGTCGGCTGTGCCATGATGCAGAAGAGAACCACCAGATGGATCGATTCAAAGTCAGAGAGGTGCAGTGCTCTGAGTGTCAGGTGGTGCAGCAGGTAACTGAGAGAAACAGCTGTAGCTTAAGTGTTTAACCCTGCTGTCAGTTGTAGCAGGAATGCTCTGTGCACTATCACTCAAATGTTAGAAGACTTAAAATTGCATCACATTACAGTGATTACATTACTGCATAGTTAAACATTAGGGCATGTAAAAGTACATACTAACAATTTAGATTCACAATATTAAAGATATTAAAGATTTTTTTCTTTATTCAGTTCAATTCAATAACTTTATTGATCCCCTCGGGGCAATTCAAAAGCTCACTGAGTATTTCATATAAAGACATAAAAACAACCCAAATAAACCATGTCATAAATATTGCATTATATTACATCGGCATTAGCAGGGAGTCAGCGGGTCAGAGGTGGTTGTGCATTTAGAAGGAGGACAGCTCTGGGAACAAAAGTTGCCCCCCTTCTTTGAGTCCGGCAGCCTTGGCAGTGAAGGCAACATGCAGAGGGGCGCCACTCAAATGCAGAGAACAGCGGGTGTGATGGGTCCTGAAGGATCTTGCTGGCTTTCCTTAAGGTCTGTTGCTCACAAAAGGTGGAGAGAGGTCTTACAGTGAGCCAGATAATTTTGGTGCAGATCTTGACAACACTCAGTAGCCGGTTTTTACTCTGGATAGAGTTAAACCAGCAAGTAGAAGAGAAGGTGATAATGCTCTCTATGAAGGAGTGGTAAAATGTTGTGAGGATGTTTTTGCTCACACCGAAAGAGTTCAGCTTCTGCAGGAGATACTGTCATTGATGACATTTTTTCAGAATCTCATCCGTGTTAAGGTCCAACTTCAGCTGTTGGTCGAAGACTGTGCCAAGGTATTTGTATTTCTCCACCACTTTCACAGGCTCCCCATGAATGGTGGGGACTACAGTACAAAGTCTTGTGTGATTTGTGTGATTTGCAGTGAATTTTGCATTGTTACGGAAAATTTCTCTTCTGCCATGCAGACTGGAAGTCATCTTGTTAAACAGCATTTTGGTATATCCAAAGACATTTATGGTGCCATCCGTAAATGTCATCTCACCAACACATTTTGCATTCATGTAGCTCCATATCATCATACTCCCACCTCTGTGTTTGATTGTCGGCACTGTATGTTCACTGTGGTAGTTCTGGCCAGGTTCTCAACAAACATGCGGGACCCCATCTGAGCCTTAAAATAGCCACATTGGTCACATCTAACCAAAGAGCAAGCAAAAGTTTTTTCTTAGATTTTGATAGAAGTAGATGTCACCCCATCTGAGCTGTCACAGAACTCTTATTTCCATTGATAACCCCTGTGCCCGATTTGCTTGTGTGTTTTTCAGAGTTAAATTGTGTATGTGGCACCCTGTCTGTGGCTGCTGTGGCTCTGATTAGTACTACTTTGACTCATTCCAAACTTCTTGATCACTGCTGCAGCTGTATTTCATCAGATTTTTTACTTGTCCCTAATCCTTCTGTATCCTTTTCCGTCTTCGTCATTCTTTTCCATGTGGCGCCGTAATGCTGACATACAGTTGGATACAGCCCATAGGTCCCAAACTGACAAAGTTCTGGTGTTTGTAGTTTATTTTATATCTATGTTCATGCAGCTTGAGTGAATGAAAATCACAGTTGTGTTTCAATTTTCACACATTTTCTAACTTAGGTGACAGTGATCACAGGTGTATTCACTTTTTCTGCATTATGTGTGTACACATTTTTCTAAAGTTGTCTTTTCAACGTATTTGTTTTTAATTATCCATACAAACTCTGCTTGTCAACTTAGAAATAGTGCAATTAGTAGGATGTGATAAGATTTTGAATCATGTGCCATTGAAGTGGTATTGCATCCTTACCTCTGTTGTATACTGTAAATGTCACCTGTTTTTCTTTGACCTTTATGTCATATATACATTTATATGTACAGTGTGGTTAAGAACTATACGAATGTTATGTATTACTCTTCTAGGCACAACAGACTTGTGAGCAATGTCACGTACAGTTTGGAGAGTATTACTGTGACATTTGCCACTTGTTCGACAAGGATAAGAAGCAGTATCACTGTCAGCCCTGTGGGATATGCAGGTAAGAAATATAAGAGTTCAGCTGTTGTAAATACACATCAATAGGCTGTTAAAGTTTTTTGGAGCTGTTTTTTTATAACCTCAGTAGCAGATGCTAACAGTGATGTAAAGTTGCATACACAATTGCCCTGATATTGGATTTCTGTGCACCCAACTCAGCTAACATTGTAAGCAACAATTCCCTGGGTTTTCAGATTTACCACTATTGCACACTGTGTTTTGACCACTACAGGATTGGACCAAGGGAGAAATACTTTCATTGTGAGAAGTGCAATTTGTGTTTAGCTCAGGATCTACGAGGAAACCACAAGGTGATTATTAGTCTTGTTGTGTTCCCGACTTGCACATCATATGTGTTTTGCATGATCAACAGATGAGAGTCCTCACTGCTTTAGTTTATTATTATGTTTTATGTTTCAGTGTGTTGAAAATGTTTCAAGACAGAACTGCCCAGTTTGTATGGAGGTAATGATACATTCAGTGTATTAGGGATTTTTATGTAATCCTTCTGTCTGCAGTTTGATGTGATTTAGTTTTTTCTTTTCATACAGGACATTCACACATCCAGAATCGGAGCTCATGTTCTTCCTTGTGGCCACCTTTTACACAAGTATGACTCATTCTCTGAATTATAGTAGTTGAGTTTTATGGGGTTGAATTATGTGTATTTTCTGTTTTTGCACATCGGAAAAAATATGTGAATCAAGGATACTTTCTTGACAGATTTTTATACAGCTTGATTACATGATATAACATGAATTAAAATGTTATCATAGTATTTGTAAAATAGGAATATATGTATTTAGAATGATGAGGAGAAGAAAATTGAGGCGATGAAGTCAAATGTTGTTCTGATCGATGTTGTCTGTAGGAGTTTATCATAAATAGTTCAAAACTCTGTTATGCCATAAAGATAACATTGTGTTTTTTCTCTTTCCTCTGCAGGACCTGCTTTGATGACATGGTCAGAACAGGGTATGTCTTACAAGGTCCTTTTTTTTCTCGTTAAATAATGGTCTTCATGTGATTAGGTCATCAGGTTACAGTCACATTTCTCCTGTAAGCTGATTACTTATTTTATTTTTTTTTTTTAAACATCAAGTAAATGAGAAAGCTGGTTTCAGTAATTAGGACAGGGTTTCTACAGTAAGATTTCTCATGAAGAACATGAATGTCACCTGACCTTTACATAGGAAACAAGGTTACTGATTAGCTTTTCACAAGTGCACAGCTGTCAACTGTGGAATTTTAAAATAAGGAGAATTTTCCAGTGCCCCACTGTGGGCCATTCGCCCATCCCCACCACTGTCAACATACCCCCACATATACAGTGAATCCTAAAAGCACTACTAGGCATCCACCTGCATTAAAATATCAGTGCAACAAGGTTGGGATTGTCTAGTTCCAGAGAAGGTCCTGACCTCTCTGGTACCCTCCTACCTGACCCATGTCAATCATTTACCATCACCACACTGACACATCTGACACCCCATGTGCTCCCACTATAATCCTCCCTTCCTACCTTTAAAACAGTTTGCTCCATCTGTCAGTCCATGAGTTAGTGGATCTGGGATTCACTGACCCCCACAGAGGTTGCTACTGGAGTTTCATTTCCAGCAAATTAAATTTCAATAGGCTCGGTGGTTATATCTGCTGCCCATGCAATATACGTAAGAACACAGGAGAGTATTTAAATGGAAGAACCATGGGCGAAAATATAAGCAAATCCCAAGAAACAAGAGGGTTGGCAGGTATGCAAGTGTGCATGTAAAAAGACTGGAGACAAGAATGCGAGAAAGACATGCCGAAATGAGAGATCAGTATATTAATTGATCCTCTTATTTAAAATGCTTCAATCCAACATCTGACTGAAGCTGATTTGTGTGCTGTGTTGTCTTCAGTCACTGAAGTGCATGTACAGAATGTTTACATTTGTAAGGTCTATACCTTACTATGTTAAGCACTATGTGATGACATATGTTAACTGTGTTATACAAATAAAATTGAATCGAGTTGAATTAAGTGTGTTATCCAGTTTGCCACAGTTTCTATGATTAATCTAGTTACTGCATGTAAAGACACTGAATGAGGCCATCTATGGCGTTTTTCCTTCTCTCGTTTCAGAGCGTATCGCTGCCCTCTGTGTATGCACTCTGCTTGGAACATGGAGGACCACTGGGATCAGATAGACAAAGAGATTGCTCAGTCACCGATGCCTACTGAGTACCAGGGTGCTACTGTCAGAGTAAGACCTCAATCATCCAATCAAATGCATGTGTAATGTTTTATCTTGTTTGAAATTAGGGTTGAATTGCTGATGGATCAGAATCTCATTTTTTTCATTTCATTCAGTGTTATTTGCACAATTGTTGTCCACTTGATTATCTTTATATGTAGTCTGTTCCTTCTGTTTTTCCTTACTATAGATTATATGTAATGACTGCCAAGCCCACTGCACGGTGCCTTTCCATGTGTTGGGGATGAAATGCACCGGCTGTGGCTCCTACAACACAGCACAGGACGGAGGACTCATCCAGCAGCCTCAGCAACAGCAGGCAGAGCAGGACACTGAGACTGAGGCAGAGACGGACACAGAGCCAGAGCAGCAAGATCAACATGAGTCAGCCACGCCGCATTAGCAGTACTCGCTGAACCATCACGGATGGATTTGACTGGTGCACTTAATTGTAGTAACTTACATGGAGTGTAGCAGTAGACAGTTTTTCTAGTTTGTTTCAGAAAAATCCATCTATTTTCTGCACCTTCTTATGGTCTTCAGGGCTGGACCTGTCCCAGGATGCATTGGGTGAGATGATGATTACACCGCCGACAGGTCGTCAGTCAATCACAGGACCTTCACATTAACATACTGACAATTTAGAGTCATGGTCCATTGGATCTGCATGTTTTTAGACTCTGTGAGGAAACGCACAAAGGCATGGAGACAACACACAAACACCAAACAGCTGATCAGCTGAGACAAACCCAGGAGTGTCATGTGACTGTCAACTGTGTGACAGTCTGTTAAATGTTTGATGAGTTCAGGAACTGCACCATAATTCCCATTTAACTGCTCGCAGTAAGACACTGCGTGAACAGATGTGTCTGTTTGCCATATGCTCTCTGAGCCTGAGCAGCTTAACAACCCTGCAGCTTTGGAAATTTGTTAGACAAATGAAACTGTCTTCAGCAATATGATTAACACTGTTGTAAGTCTGCACATTTACTTATTTTAGTGAAGGATTGATAAAGCATAAGGGTAAGATTCACAGGGCATTTATGCAGGAAAAAAAGTCAAAAAGATACAGAGACATTTTGTGAGTGAAAGAACAAACTTTTTGTTTTTTCCTCATCTTATTTCTCAGTCCATATTTTAGTTCTTAAGTGTGGCTCCCCTTCTCTGTGATCTTTAGAAATTTGCTCTACAAGTGATAAAAATCGATTCTGTTTCGGTTTAATATCAAGTTCATGTTCTGATCCCACAAAATCAAAGTTTTGTCAGCTGGTAATTTAAAACTGTTGTGTTATCTAATTCGTTTGCATACTTCACCTACGACTGTAAAGTGCAACATGTCACTATTCTGATCAGAAGGAGGAGGAATCTTCATTGACAAGTCAAACAATTGAGTTATGCATGTAAATGTAAGTGGTTGACATTTAGATGGTTTATAAATAGACCTGTTCATTGTCTAAAGCTGGCTATGTAGATGACAGGATGGCATTTGAAACATGTTCTTAGTTGTGCCTGTTTGTTGCGTTACACTAATGTGACAATTCCTGCTGCAATGTTGAGCAGCTTTTGAGCATTTACTGCTCATCCACATACAGACAGTGCTGTCATTTTTGCTGCTGAGACAAAATGCCCCGTATTCCAGGATCACAACTTTTTTTGTGTCTTTTCCACCTGCAAATGTTGGGTTAACTGAGTTTCACAATGACAGTAATACAAACTCCTATTAAATAACAACATTGTACTAAGCCATATTGTATTGTCTCCAACACAATTCATTGCATTGATGATCAAATAAATTCATCACAGTTTCATTTTCAGCTGCTCATGAACACATTTGAGGTGTTGCCAGTTAAGGTGTTGATCATACAGCACTTAGTTTAAGCATTTCAAGAATTCTTACAGCAGTCGTCTAAACTAACACTGTTGTAACAGAATTAAACACAACAAAAGGAAATGTGAAATCAAAATACAAACCAAGTATAGTCTGGACATTTTGCTTTCATGCTACAGTGATGGTTAAGTATCAACCCAACATTGTGTATGTACAGCAAGAACCAAACTCGTAACCTAAGCAGAACTAACGCTGAGATGAAGCATAGTTTCACATGCTGTCTCCTCTCGGGGGGTCGGGCTCAGGGGTCACAAACTGGAAAGTGAAACAAACGGGAGCACCAGTCAGGGCGGTTCCCTTTGGGAAGGACAAGGAGGGGTCTACAGAGAATGTTAGAGGTGTTGGTTTGATGACATGTGGAGGAAAGGGTGGAGTGGCATGCTGGGGGAATCCTTGGTATGTGGTGGTGACTTGTGGTTGATTTGTTCCCTTGATTATATCAGTTTCTGTAAGCACTGGGTGTAGAAAGGCCTCTGTGTCTGGTAGGACACGCACAGTGTCAGTGTTAACTGAGTCCTGTGCAGGGTCAGACTCAGGCATATCCTGAGAGATGTCTACGCCCAGAGAGGTTTGAGAAGGATCGTCTGGCATGAGTGGGAAAGCGTCAGCGTCACCAGATGTTTGCGGGTCTTTGAGGTCTGGCAGGGCTGAAGCATCGAGCGGGGCTGAAGACCCTGCATCTGCAACAGAGGGGAGCAGTGAAGGGTCCGGGAGATTGGTCTCTGTGAAGTCCGGCTGCAAGGGATGCTGTGACGGCTCAACCTGAGCGGCAGCCTCCTCTGATGAATTCGACTCACTGGACTCTGAAGACTTTGAGGAATCCTCGCCATCATGCAGACAGATCTGTGTGATGATAAGAAATGTCACAACTCCATGCACATTGCAATACAGTGGTAAAATGTAGAAGAGCAGTAAAGCTACTCACTGGTTTAGACGTTACTACAGTCACCATGAAGACGACGAACAGGGAGGCCCTCAGAGCTGTCATTACTGTTGCTGCTGTGTATGCTGGAACAGATAAACAGGGTGAATTAATGGAGTGGAATTTGTACATCTAAGACACTACATTTCAGAGGTAAATATTGTACTTTCTACAACATTTACCTGGGAGCTGCACATACTAGTTATTTAGCATCCTCGTTAGATTATTCATCATATAAAATATGAGCCTCTAAGACATATTAACATGTTAAAAATCTGCTGCTTTTTAAGTTATTTAGCTTAACTGACTCCTAACTCGTTAACATTCACAACCTTTGTTTTTTTTTTTTGTTTTTTTTTTAACGCTATAAGCTTAGAAATATTTAATTCATTGGACTATTGTGGTGAAAACAGTGTGCAGCACACAGTGGTTCAGTGAGTATGTGTCCCTGTAGATGGAAGACAATATAAGAAACTACAGTTTTGTTGTGTACACACTCATTACAAAGCAAGGCTCCACTGGTACTGCTGCTATTGTTGCTGTGGTATTTTGTTGTCTAATGATCTACAGCTTGATTCAGAAATGTGCCAATGGTTTTTTAAAAAACAGTTAAAGAATTTTCCCTTGGTCCATTTTCAGGTTGGGGAATGTTAACGGGTTAACATCAAGTTTTTCTAGTCCTGTAAATCTGGTGTTGTTTTTTCTTTCAAGGTACAGACATTTATAAACAAACTTTAAAAAGTTTAAAAAGTTCATTTTGCTGATGATATCGTTACTTTTAGAAGCATTTTGACTGAGACATTTTAACTTGTAATTTAAATTGTTTTTTTTATATATCAAAGTTAGAGATCTGAAGTCCAAGTATCAATTCAATCAAAATGCATTTTCATTTTAAAATAAAGCCTCTGCAATGAAGACTAAATTCATTGCTGAATATGGGTGAAAGGATCCTGCAACCTGAGCTGTAAAAAATATTAACATTAGTGAAAAATCAGCATTTCTGCTTTAAGACTCACCTTTATAGTTTCCGTTTCCTCTTCTCACCACAGAGACACAAGAGACGAATTCAAATATGTATCAGTTCAGTCAAAATGCAGTTCAGCTAATGTTACTTCCTTCTCAGTCTTGGATGAATAATAGAACATCTGGGCTGAGCGTGTTTTTATATGGCTGCTCACATGTGTGGGTACAACATACCACCAATCTATCATTTGAATCATGTTCCTGGCAATATAACGTGCAGCTCTGATTTACTAACCATCAAAGAGAAATCATTAAACACCCTGAGATAAACTGCAATTATAGAGTGCTAAAAATTCTTAGATTATAATAAGAGAATATGTATACCAGAAGTGTCTATTCATAAGCAAAGTAAACATGTGTTTTGTGGTTTTGGTGTAAACAATGGGAAGAATCCGGTTTAAACTTTAAATACATCTAGAAGTCATCAGAAATTCTTGGCAATGTCTTAGCATGCAAACTGTTTACAAAGACTGAGACAAAAAGTTACATAAAATGGAAAAATCGTTAAGTTTTATCTGTCAATATCCTCAGTATGCTACAGGATCCATTGATTCCAGAGCTCCTCGTCCAGCAATCAGTTAAATACATGATTTCCCAACAGAACAATTGTTTCTGTAGCCACAGAAGCAACATTGCAAACTCATGCTGATTACATGTTCCAGTGTTTTTTATTCTCATAATTTACCAGTTAAGAACAATTTGAATATAAAAACACGAGAATCAACACATTTTTTCATTTCATTTCCTAAAGGCCTTTTACACATTGATACAGATGTTTAAATATGACTACTTAGACTTCTGCCTGCATCCATGTGCTAATAAGAGTGATAAATGTGTAATTTATTCTGCTCTAAAAGGAGCTGCAGAGTTCGTAAGAGGATGATAAGAGTGTCAATCAAGTACAGATTGTAAATTATCCACAGTATTGATCACCTGTATTTGCAAGCCTTTCAGTAAAAACACTAATATCACAATATAGAAATACTCTTAGAAGCACAAGTCCTGCATTAAAAGTATATTAGCAGTGAAATGTACTCATAATTGTCTCACTCACTTTATCACTGATTATAATGATACACTTCATTTATATAGCACTGTTCTTAGAAGAAAAATAAATGAAAAGGCTAAAAGCATCAGTTACATTGAAAGAAAGCTAATTAAAGCAGTCACAGAGCATTAAAATGTAGCATATCAATCATCCATAAAGAGTTTTTAATTAAGTAATGTTTTAAGAAGAGATTGAGACTGTCTTGACACACCCAAGATGTTGCCAGTCTGATCTCAACAGACTGACTGTTCCACATTTTGTGTGTTTCAACAATAAAACTCTTGTTCACTCGCTGAGACTGAATAACCAGATCTTCATTGATCCAAGAAAATGCCACGGGACACAGTAAAGTCCTTAATATGATTCAGAACACGGCTAATTAATGCTTTAAACATCCATCCATCCATTATCTATACACCGCTTAACCCTCACTAGGGTCGCGGGAGTGCTGGAGCCTATCCCAGCTGATTCAGGGCGAAGGCAGGGGACACCCTGGACAGGTCACCAGTCTATCACAGGGCCACACTTAGAGACAGACAACCAAGCACACTCACATTCACACTTACGGACAATTTAGAATCACCAATTAACCTCAACATGTTTTTGGACTGTGTGGGAGGAAGCCAGAGAACCCGGAGAGAACCCACGCTGCACGGGGAGAACATGGAGACTCCACACAGAAAGAATCCGGTGTCCTCACCGGGACGCAAACTAGCAACCTTCTTGCAGCGAGGTAACAGTGCTACCAACTGCGCCACCTTGCAGCCCTGCTTTAAACATGATTAATAGAATTTTAAAATCAATGCAGAACTTAACAGATAACCCCAGTGTAAATGGTAAAGTACCAGACTAATGTGATCCTATTTCTTAGAGCCAGTACAGATAAAGAGGGTGAAAGGAGCTCTGACTGATGCTGGTGTATGGAGTGTCACAGTAAGGTGCTCCTATAGCTCACCTAGCTGAGTGGTTGACCCATAAACAGGGGCTATTGTTCCCTGATGCAGCGGTCCTGGGTTCGACTCCTGCTCAGGACCCTTTGCTGCAGGTCTCTACTCATTCTTCTCCCCCCCTTTCATGTCTATCTCCACTGCTCTAAAAAAATAAAGGCAAAAAGCCCAAAAATATATATATATTTTTTAAAGTGTCGCAGTAACTGAAGCAGACAGGAGAGCTCTAGTTGGGGATTGGAGTTAAAAGCATGACTAGACCCTCTTCAAATGAGCATCAAAACAGAGATCAGCTAAATGTAAGCTACATTATAATACTGCAGGTGGTCCAGTCCCATAGAACACTAACAGTAGCTGTAGTAAAGAGAGACTTCAGCCACAAAGGGCTAAAGCTACAATAGCAGCTGAACAAACCTGAGTTAACCCTCACAATGACAACACAGACACACCGATGTTCAGTAGGTGTGTTTACCATCGTCACTGTTCCTTTAGACTTATAACATTTTAATAACGCTAAATATAAAGTACAGTGTCAGCAGGCTGCTAGAAATGTCAGTGTATAAACCAAGGTATTGGACAGACTACATTTTTGATCTAACGATGGAACAAGAGGAAAAGTTACGCAGTGACCAAAGTACATAAATACTTTGTCATCCTGAGGGAACGGAAATGACAAATTTCATGACAATCCACCCAACAGCTGAGAGATTCCAGCCTAAATTAAAGATAGATATTGTCATCTCCTCAGCAATACTGCTAGCATTGATTTAAAAAAAACTTTTTTTTTTTAAATGGTCACTTGCAAAATGTATGACAGATATTTAGAATGTTCATATTTAGAATGTTCAAATACTTTGATCAGTTCTAACAAATCTCATCCATTCTGATTCCAGCTTATTATCCATGGAAGATTGCTTGAGTGTTTTGGACAAAGGTCTTCTAAATGAGTTCTATCTGGCTCTCTGATGTTACCCTGCCAATATTAA